CAGCCTGTTAGGAAACGTGTAATTTTCTTGCAATCTTATGTTCTGATAAATAATTCTAAAGTGAGAAATGAGCTTAAACATCAGGAGGTTTTTGCTTGAGTTGCTGTGCAAATACACAGTGTTGTGGCTTAGTTTTGATAGAAAACATGAAAGAAAGTGCAAAAGCCCTTTCAATAGCCAGTAGCTATAGATTGGCTTCTGGCAGCAGAATGCTGGCTGGGTTGAAAAACACATATTTAACATCTTCTCTGCTGTTTCTTATTAAGTCTGCCAGCTTGATTGTCCTTAGACTGGTGTGTGTGGGAAGGACTGTCTTTTCCTGGAAGTCTGGAAGGTTCACAGCTCATTTTCTAATAATGTTGTAGCCCAGCTTCTAATAATTCTGTAGCCCTTTTTGTCTTCACTGTAATGCTTCTGTAAAGCCTCTCTCTAGGAATCATGTTCCTTACAGTGTTGCTACTCTTGTTTTATTTATGGGCAGTGGTGGTTGGTGTTTAAATCCACCATAGCGTGAAAGAACCTGGGAATCCCTCAATCTCTGCTCTGCTAACTGGGAATTATTTCTGTGCTTTATCTTAGGTGTTTTGTTTTGTTTTTCTTTGGAGAACAGCATTATTTCTGGGGGAATAAACAAAACTAACCAACCCTGATGTGAATTCAAGAGATTTGTATGTAATTAGGTTGGTTTAAGGTCAGTGTTGTCTATCAGGGACTCCCAGATTTATCCTGGTGACAACATCTTTTCCCCTTTTCCCATGGAGCTCCCAGCTCCATGTGCAGCAGGTCCAGGCAGCCTTAGATATCTCAGCATGTTTTCCTGTCTCCTCCTGGGGCAAGCGGGTGGGCTGCTCTACATTTGTTTGTTTTTTTTTGTTTGTGTGTTTATTTGATTACACTCTGCTTTGAAGGTTGCTTACCACAAGGGCTACAATCTAGCACTGTCTAGGAGCCCCTGCTGTAGACTTCAAACTTTGCTTATTTTTCTAACCTTTCTCTTATTTCATTGATTGTGTTTGAAAGCTACTTCAGGGCTGCTTTGTGCGTTGCCAAAGAGGCTTGCGTTGCTCATTTCCCTGCTTTGAAATGACATAATTGTCTTTCAAAGCCTAGAAAACAGAACTTGGCTATGTGAGGGGGTACCTGCAAATGCTTTTCCAAAAAAAGAGTGCAAGACTTGGCTCCAAAATCAGCCCCCAAAATCCCTAAGGATCCCTAGGCCAAGAGTCTCAGTAGCCATCTTAAACAGAGTTGCCTGGCAAGAATAGAGTGGAAATGTCTTCCTTCCTCTGTGTTTAGGCCTGATTTAAGAAATACAATAAGACATTTTTGTTAGATTTTTATTGCTATTTTGAGTAATATATCTTCTTTACTATACAGTCAAATGAATGCTTTTATGTAATAATAAAGTTAAGGAACAAAGATACGCAAGTCAAGGACACAGGAGCTACCAAGTGGTCCTTTAGAAATGAAAAAATTACTCTATTTTCTAGAACTCAGTTGTATTGGAAAATGTTTGGTCTAATTAAGGAATCAAATAACATATTTGTCATTTTATGTTTTAATAGGAAGGTATAGTTGTCATTCAGTGTCTTGGCTTTTTGATGTAAAGTAGCCTTTTCCTGTATCACAACTTAGAAAATAATTCTGACCTTGTTGTGGCAGAAATGCAAACTATTCCATCCCTCCTTTGCAACCTGCTCAGCTGGTATCTTCTCTTCCCTGGGTAACTTGTGTTCACCCATTCCTCTATCAGAGGGAGAAGGTTTGTGCTGGGGAATGAATTTCTTATCTTGTAAACAGCATCTGGGCTGTTCCACCCACATATTAATGGTTTGCAGAGAGGTGGTTTTTCAGCAGATCTCATTTTTACTGGCTTTGGTGCAGTTTGTAAAAAATATTGGAAGGAGGTTGCCTTGTGAAAATATGGATTTGGGATCCATTTGAATGGGTTGCATGGATTGGGACCCAGGACTTGTTGAGCTGGGTGGCTTTTTTAACACTCAGTAGCGTCTCACCCTCATTTTGAACTAGGCCCCTTTGTCTTGGGAGAGCTCATTGGTAGCAATATCCTGTTTAAAGTTGTTTTAAAAGAATGACCTTGTAGGGCATGTTTCCTGCTCCCTCTCGATGGGATTTCCTTTTTATTAAACAGGAAATAGTCCGATTACATAAAAGTGTGAGAATGACAGGTTTTTCCTTCCCAGCGAGGGTTGTTCATGCTAATTCTATTCAGAAAAATGCTCCACTGCCAGAGCAGCTGAAGTTAATTCACTTTGCTTACACCTCGCAAGTTCCTACTAGTGTGTTGCTAAAGCATTGTCTTGGGCTGAGCAGTCCAGCAGGCTTTTCTGGAGCAGTCTTTGTACAGGGATTTTCTTAGCAGATACATTTTCTCACAAGTGGAAGGTGGCAGGAGTTCAACAGCATGAAGTGTGCTGGCTTTCAAAGATCTGTTTCTGCAGCTTTTAAAAATCTTTTTAAAAAATATTTTTTGTTTGTTTTGTTTTGTTGTGGGTTTTTTTTTCTTTGACCTGAAACTCTGAATTGAATTCAGAAACAACAAAGATGAGCCTTCTCTACCTGGCAAGAAAATGTGTACTTGATACCTTTTATTTTAAGTTTGTCCTCAGAATCACCTGCTGACCTCAACTTGGGAATTTCAGTCCAAGCTCTTCTGTGTACAGTGCTAGTAACGAGTCAGGAGGAATTAAAAGTCCTGTAACATAATAGGAAAAGGTGCAGTGATAAGACGCAGAGGTCAGCACAGTGTATTGTGTGCTGAGCCTGCAGTGGCCAAATATTGGCAAACCTGAGGTGGCTGCTGGTGACAGCCTTGCCATCCCAGCCCGTGGTACCTGGCTGCTGTCCTGAGCCTTGAAGGCTCAGCCATGAATGAAGTTTACATCCCCTATTTAGGCATGGCTCACTGATGGTATTTTGTATGGATTGGGTGTTCAGGGAGGGTAATTTTGTCCTCTTGAGGAATGCCAAGCACCACAGAATGTTACCATAAAGTAAATGCTGTTCCATTGCAGCCTAAGCCAGAAGATGAGTCAGGTATTAAGCATCTCCTTTAGGAAGCTACAGAATTGAAATAGCCCATTTGGCTTAATTCTTTTCTAGGATGCATTATAATTACCTTAATTCAATAGATTCGGGAGTACTGAGGGATTTAAATGGGTTTTTAAAAAATAAATTATCATAGAATCATAGAATCAGAATTATTCGAGTTGGAAAGGACCTTAAAGATCATCTAGTTCCAACTTGCTTCTCATGCATTGCAGGTTGAGATGTGAGTTGTGACTGAAGCAGGAGGCTCTGAGACATGATTCTTGTTGGTGGGATCCACAGAAAATTGCTGATACTCGAGAACACCCAGTTTAGTTTCAAGTTTAAGAAAGGTTACACCAGCAGTTGCTAGAATGTTTGATGTGACCCTTCTTCAGTTTCTGCCTTCAGCTTTGCTCCTCCTGGTTTGGGAGCTGTGGTTTGGACACCTTCAGCTGATCCATGTCTCCTCACCCTGGCCTGTTTTAGCCTGTTAGGTCCCCCCCCTCTTTTTCCTGCACTGAGCAGGTGTAATCTGGGAGACCCTGGAAAAAGAAAAATCACTTTGCAGGGGGATCACTTGGCAGGCAGGAATTTTCAAAAGATAAAAGAACTGAGAAAGCCTGGAAACCTTAGGCATGTTTTTATTTCAGATGTTTAATTTTGAATTCTGCAGGTAGATTTTCTTTTGATAATGAGTGCAAATCTTTTCATATCCTCCTGCTAAATCAACATTTACACAGGAAAGCCTGGGACTTTAGTGTCTCAGCACACTTGAAGTTTGAAATGTCTGATTGAAACTGTTACAGCTGGCCTGTAACCTAATTGGACTGGTATGTTGGAAAGTTTCTGGAGCAAGTTGCTTTGGCTCTAAGCTTTGTGCCAGTGAAATGATGAAGTATAGCACGATGACTCTAATGAACAAGCTTTGTTTAGAGAGCTGAGAAACAGTATTAGTTTTGTTTTTAGTTTCCATCTCTGCTCATGGGTGTCTTGCAAGTAGATTTAATAAGCACAATGTCTCGGTATTCTTGGGAAAATATTTAGCCAGTTGAGATTGTTACTTAGCTTTTTTGTTACTAGAAGACGACAAAACAAAAAACTGGACTTGTGCAGAGCAGAATTATCACTGGTATAAAATGTGTTTCAAGGAGAACTGCCACAAAATGTACTTAGGAAAGATTTACTCCTGTAAAAGGGTTGAACCATTTTCCTGATTGAAAAAAAAACTTTGTTCTTCTCCTGGGGTTTTTAAGTGGTTTAATGTAGGCTTGTGTCTCAGTGAACAACCTCATCTAAAACAAAAGTAACCAAGTGATGGCTCCAGAGCTGAACTCTTTGGTGCCTGTTGCAAAAGAAGAGGCAAACAGGGAAGTTGAAAATCTCTTAAAATTGCACATCAACATTTTCAGTGGACAGTTATCTGACTTGTGTATGTCATTAGTGTAACTGCAGGAGCAACCAAGGCCAAAAGTACCAGTTAAATAAAAGTTCTATCAAACTACTGCAAAGGGTGAAGGTGCTGAGCAACTTCTGTGCCATCTTATGCTGTTGCTTTGTGTATCCTAAGCTGCCAGGACTACGTAGTGACTCAGGGTCCAGGGGTCAGCTCCTACACTGTAAGTATTGTCCTGCTGGATCAAATAGCAGATTGCTGTTTTGGTATGTGGAGGCAGAATTTATTCTGTGGCACGTTGGAGCAGTGAGAAGGTAATGGCTGAAATAATTTGGAGTGTCAGAGTGCCTTGGTGTCACTGCTAATGTAGTTTGCACAGCTGCCTGAAAGAGGCTGAGGAAATTGTCTTGGAAGAAGTAGAGTATCTTCAAGGACTCGTGCTGGCTTGGTCGTGTTTGGAGGTGTGAGATGCCAAGACAACCTCTCCTCTTCAGTTGGGCTCTGAAAAGGAGCATTACCTTGAGTTTGTCCATCAGCCATGCTCTGCTCTCTGCAGGTGCTGCTGGTGAGCAGTAGTCGTCATCCTGACCGATGGATTGTGCCTGGGGGCGGCATGGAGCCCGAGGAGGAGCCCAACGTGGCCGCCGTGCGAGAGGTCTGTGAAGAGGTGAGTGTTGGATGAGACCTGGAGCACCTGGAGCTGATGGTTAGTTAGCCAAGGCTCTGGGAATTTCTTCTTATCACTCTTGTTTTTTTCCCTTAAGGTGAAGAGGAACGTAGGGTGATATCCACGTCGTGTGTGGGAGGGGAATCCCAAGTCCTAAATAAAGATAGCACGGGAATGTAATTAAGGCTCTCAGTCGGAATGAACTCTTCCTCACCTGATACCTTTAACTGAAAATAGATACAATTAAGCTGTAGTCATTTTAATACACATGATGACACTCTCAATTTTGTTTTCTCTGCATGAAGAACAGTATCTTAACTTCAAAAACCAGCTGTGCTTTTGTGGAGTTAACTGACAGTTTGGTAGAAGGTAGAAATAAGACCTTACAAGCCACTAAAGACACTCCAAATATGGGGATCTCAATAAGTTTTGCTCTAATTAATATTTTGAGTTTCATGTGAATAAGAGAAATTTATTTTAAGAGTTATAAACAACAATTTCTACACCTCTTTGTGGTTTTGGTTCTTAATTTAAGCCCTTTCAGAAGGGGGATCAAACAGCAGATCAAGCAGATTGATGATCTCTGTGGTAGAAGGTGTATTTTTCTCTTTAAAGCTGGAAGAATGATTTTATTCTTCAGAAGAACTTCAAAGCCAGCAAATGACAATTGACTACATTGTGTATGAAACATGTTTTTAGGAATGACTTCTGAATATTATCAAATTGGGGAGATGCTTAGATTCAGAAACTATTAAATTATTATATATGGATGACCAAGTAGGTTCCCAGTTGCATAAGGCAGGATTAAAAAATGCTTTCAAGAGGGTGATAAATCTTTGTGCTGCAAAACAGAAATGCAAGACCTAATTGATGGGATTTTTGGAGGAAGCTTTTCCAGTAGTTGCTTTATTTAATTGTCTGGTATGTGAAGGTTTTTCTGTGAAGTATTTGGCAATTCCTACTCCTTCTTAACAAAATACTGAATATTTGGGGCCTCTGGACTAATCTAATGTAGCAGTTCTTGCCTTGGGTGTTTCTCTGAATGTTTTTATAATCTAGCAGTTTATCAGAAAGATAGGAAAGGTGACACTGTCAAGGTTTATTTTTTAAAATATCTTTAGGTCCCTCAGGCAGTGGGGATTGCTACTTGCAGATTTTCTTTCCAGCTTGTGCTCCAGCTCCTGCTTTTTCAGTAACTCGGCAATCTTTCAAACACATTACAAGCCAAAGTGAGTTTAACCAGAACAACAGAAATATTTTTAGCTGCAGACTCCTGCTTTTACAAGCCGATTGTTATTAATAATGATTTCATATAGAAGTCAAGGGTTCGTTCGGGAGACACATGGATTTGCCTTTCAAATCCTTAAAATAAACCTGCATGGACCCTCCCTCCCTCTGGCAGCGCCTTGGAAGAGTCGCTCTCTTTCCATGACAGCTCGGTGGCTGAAAGGAAACCTTGGCAGGGGCTCAGTCTGCAGTGAAGAAACTGGTTTGGGCTGGCTGAGATAATCCCCTCTCTCTCAGCTGGTGTTCCCTGCCTCACGTGGACCTGTGCCGAATGAGAATGTAACTCAAACTGTGGCAGCCTGGCAGGGTTGAGTCATTCCCAGAGAAGCACCTTCTCTGCTCGAATGCCACTCCACAAGCAGGGTGAACCTCCAGAGCTCCCAACAGCAGCAGGGTTACCCCAAGGGCTACCCCCTCCGTGACAGTGTGGGATGTGAGCACAGGCTGGGAACCTGACGTGGAGCTCCCAGATGCTGTTGGGATCAAGGCTTTCCCGAAAGCCCTCTGCAGGAGAGCAGCCTGTCATGTGTATAAAATCACTTGAGCTCTTCTCAGCTAATGATGAGCCTGGTGGGAAATACAGGCCAGCTTTGAGGTGTGCAGAGCCTTCCTAGGATAGGTTTGCCTTCCAGTCTGCTGCTGAAGAGCCACACACACAGTTAAGGTACATCAACTGTCTTCAGCTCAGCACTGTAAAATGGTGCTGGGGGAATGTTTGTTCCATTGGAGCTGTAAAGGACTTTCGTGCACCCCGTTTTCAAGCTCTTGCTGTTGATTTGGCAGGGGAGATATTTTAGGAGGCTGCTTGCTGGGCAGCTGGTGAGCATGCTAGCTGGTAATCCCTGCTCATCCTTTCATGTGAATTGAGCCTTTTTCAGGTAGCTTGGAGCTGGTTTCTGATTTGTTTTATTTCGTGTCGATGCCTTTGCTCCTCTTCTGGGACAGGCATTTCTGTCACTCACAAGGAAATAAGAGGTGAGCTGAGCAGGGAGAGTCTGCTCTGTCAGTGAACACACAGAGGAATTTTTATCCTAAAGAAGGTGGTTTACATGCTGGGCAAAGTTATGGAAGAAAGATGTGGACTTTCTTTCCCTGACTTTTGTGTGCCTTTCCCATTTTAATAAGAGACAGTTGAGAAGAGCTTGGAGGGACTCGTTCCCATTTCAGTTGCTTGTGGTCTTTGGAGATGACAATAGGCTGTTTTTTTCTCAATTCTGTTTTGTTGTTTTTTTTTTTGCATGGTATGTGTTTGCTTTTTAAAATATACTTCCCTAAACTAAGATTTTGAACTTCTGCATTCATTGTTTTCACTTCACCTGGTTTGAGTTTCTCCATGGGATCACTGGAATAAGTGTCATAGATAGAAATCTGACTTTTCCCTCTTTCTGATTTTCAGAAATTTTAGAAGGTCATTCTGAGAAGGAAATGTTGATTCTGAGTGAAACCTGTCATCCCTCTGTCCCAGTTTGAGGTAGAAGTCCTTGTCCTAGTTTGAGATAGTCCTTATCTGTATTAATCTGTACCAGCAGAAGTATTAAAGTAGACAGGTACCAGTACTTGTGACGCCTGCTGTTGTCTGCATAAAATATGAAGTGACTTGAGTTCTTGGGCATTGTTTTCAGGCAGAGTGGAAGCAGACAAGCACTCTAGCTCTGAATGAGAGCAGCCTTTTCAGAATAAAAGCACTTATTTCTGACATATTGTTGGGAAGTGATGTAATCAGATCTGCACAGCTGTAAAATTCAGGTACATTCTGAGGTTCATCTTCTAGAAACATCATGTGCCCATTTAAAGAAGTCACTCACACCAATGTAGTATATTTTTTGCTTCTTCATTCTTGGATTTATTTTTTTTTTACTATTGCATTCTCTCCCCCACATTAGTTTTGTGTTAAAAATAAAGGTCCCTTCCAACCCAACCATTCCAAGATTCTATAATGATTCTATGAATAAAGGTTTTTTTATGTGTTGGGAACAACTGGTGAAGAACATGTTTTAGAAGTAGGTGCCTTAAATTAAAATTACATAGAGTGACTTTGAGAAAAGCCTCCATGCTCATCTGTTAAATCCAAAGGCATTTCATTTTGCACTTAGAGCATCTTTCACATCCTGACCTTTAAATACTTAGTAAATGTCAAGTTCTGTAAAATTGTGGGAGTGTCTGTCATGCTTTCTTCATGGGAATCAAAAGCCAGAGAGGTTGTGCTTGATCTGTGATCAAGCAGGCAGTTGATGCCAATATATAAAATAATCCATCGTGACAGTACTTTGATCTAGATTTCTTTTTTTTTTTTCTTTCCCTCTCTCAAACATGCTTTATGAATGATCCTTGAAGTTTCATGTATTTTCTTAGTGATTTAGAAGATGAATATCCACATCTTTCTGTGCTAAAATAGAAAGACTTTTTAATATTGGAAGGACCAGGGGTGGATAGTGTTGAACTGTTCTGAGATTTAGTAATCAGTGCAAATCATACAGCAAGTTCATTACTGTCTGTTGCCCTGTCTACTCAAACTTCACAGGCTGAGAGAGCTGGGAGAAGAGAAGGCTCCAGGGAGACCTTAGAGCACCTTCTAGTGCCTGAAGGGGCTCCAGGAAAGCTGGGAAGGGGCTTTGGACAAGGGCAGGGAGGGATGGAATGAGGGGGAATGGATTAAAATTGGAAGAGGGGAGATTTAGGTGAGACCTTAGGAGGGAATTCTTTGCTGTGAGGGTGGTGAGAGCCTGGCCCAGGTTGCCCAGGGAAGCTGTGGCTGCCCCATCCCTGGCAGTGTTGAAGGGCAGGTTGGATGGGGCTTGGAGCAGCCTGGGCTGGTGGGAGGTGTCCCTGCCCATGCAGGGGATTGGAACTTGAAGGTCCCTTCCAACCTAGACCATTCCATGATTCTATGAAAATGACTCAAACATCTTAAAATTCTTTGCTTTGTAATGGAATTTCAGAATTGTAAAAGCACATTTTTGGTTGTACTGCAGCAAAGAATGAGATGAGTAGGTATAACCTTCCCTGAGACAGCAGAGGCAGCAGGAGAATTTGCCTGGCAGGTCTGTAATTGTTGTCTTTAGAACGTGTCTAAACTTGCAGTCTTCCTGGGTGTGATTTACTACCTTCAGTACTGCAAAAACGAGAGCAAAGATTTGGGTGTTTCACTGCAGCCCTCTTGCCCAGCAGTGATCTGTAGTAGATGCAGGCTTTGAGCCTAATAGAGCAAAGTAAAATAGCTGAAATTCCAACCCACATTTTCCTTAGCTCAGATGGAAGGAAATAAAAGCTGTCCCTAGGAACAGATGGTGTTGCTGCAGGCTGCTTTTTGCATCTGACCCAAACTTATTTTCAGCTTTGAAACCTGAACCTGCTGTTCTTGGATGTCTTCAGTCATTTTTCTTTATTAAAACAAGTTGTTCCATGTGCAGCAGAACTAGTAAAGCTTCATTTCCTCCAGATTTTTTGTTCCTTGTCCTGCACTCCCAGCTCACTCCCCTGGGTGTGTGGCAGTGGTTTGGGGCAGCTGGCTGTTGCTGTGACATTGCTGCACTCTTGCCAGATCCATCTTTTCCTCCAGTGAGGACACTGGAAACTCACTTGGATCTGCAGAGCAGTGAAGAAGCAGCTCATTTTGCAAGCTTTGTATGTCCTCTTTTATACCTGAGTGTGCCTTTTCCTGAGGAATACCATCCTGGGATTTATTTGCTTTATTTTCACACCTGCAGGTGGGACAGTGGCTGCTGGGGCTGTTCCTACTCCGTGTTGCTAGGTTTGATAGCATCCTCCTAGGACATGTATTTTGAGGATTGCAGCACTTCTAATGGTTGGTGGGGAAACGTGCCCAAAGAAATTGTGCTGTCTCTGCCAGACTGTTGGGGCCTGGGAGGGCAGAGGATTCCCAATGCATTTACTAGCGAGGAGAAAATTCCTGAGTCATCTGGTGCAAATTAAGCTTTAGATCCAGCTTCAATCCTGCATGAGCCTGTGCCTGTTGCTTTTAACTTTCCAAGAAAATGCTCATTGTCCTGCAGTGAAGATGAGTTGGGAAGGTGCTGAGGGCTTGTAGGAAAGCAGGAGGCATGGAGCTTGTCCCAGGAGGAGCCTGGCAGTGTTGTTCCTTGTTGTGTAGCTTGCTTTGTTAGTGAGAACAGCCATGGATTATTTTCTTGGGCAACTTTTATGTTAGAAACTTGTATGTGACTGGGAATTCCACTTCCACGTTTGTTTATTCCATTAAAAAACAGAGAGTATGTCTTTCCTACTGGTGTGTGAATTGGGTGCTTTATCAAAAATAGGTGTATAATAATCCAGTGGGTCTGTGTTAGATGTGCTATAAATTGTCTTTAAAATCCCCTGTACCAGTAGAGTTGGCTGAGGGCACCCCTGGTCTCCAGGGTGTGATGGTTGATGTGCTTTGCAGTCTTTGGTGAGGACTCTTCTTATAAAATCAGCCCAATATTTGTTTGAATCAAACCATTAATTTTTGTCACCATTTACTACTATATGGTAAATGAAGGAAACCTTAACACTTGAGTTGCCTAATGATAAGATGATTTTACTACAGTTCCTGTTGGTCTTGGCATCACCTCTTGTGCTTTTGTGAGTGCATAAGGCAAGGCAGGATGCAGAAGGATGATCCTAGTTTCCAGACAGAGCATTTTTTTCAGCTGCCCCTCTGTTGAACCAGGTCAGAAGGAAGAGCTCCTCACCTGCCTCTAGTACTTCAAGCACAGTTTTAGAGCATGGGAGGGTGGCTGTGCAGTGTTCATCCTTAGTTTCCAGGCTGCCTAGTTGTCTAGAGAGAAATTTGTTTCTAGTCAGGCTTGAGAGTTCCCTAAACCATCACAACATCATCATAGAATCATAGGATGGTGAAGGTTGGAAGGGACCTTAAAGATCATCAGGTTCCAACCTCCCTGCTCATAGCAGGGACACCTCCCACCAGACCAGGCTGCAGAAGGTCTCATCCCTGGCTTTTGATTCAGTGCCTCAGCAGGTGAGGAGAGCAGAAACAGCCTTTTCCAGCAACAAGTGAAGAAAAATAGCTTAAGACAGACATTTACCTGAAATATTTGCTTACACATCACCTTTTGATAGGTTTATG